CACAAAATGAGGTTGTTTTTGCTCACTGGGCCGCGTTGGAGGAAGCTAGCAGCTTCTGGGTCGGTCTGGAGCTGATGGGCCGTGAAAAACACCTAGCCGGGCCGCTGGGGTGCGGTCTGGAAGGGAGAGGGCCGCTCGCGGGTTGGATCTGGGCTAGATGTGGAGGTTGGGCGCGGGCCTCACGCAGGCTGAGAGCGGGCCTTGCGCAGGCTTAAACGCGGGCCTTCCGGGCTGAACTCTGTGAGAGACGTAGGCCGCTCGGGCTGAAGGCTGCCCGCGTGATTCTCCTCTCCTCCTCCTAGGCCTCCCGCCAATTGGGCTAAGCAGGACTTTGCTGAGCCAAATGCGCGCTGGGCCTCCTTGCAATGCGGATCGCGGACGTTGGGCTGGTTTTCGAGCCACCTCCTCGTTGGCCCACGCGCAGAGAAGCAGATTCCCGCCATGGCTAAGCTGCGAGCATGGAGGTTGCCATTCGCGGGAAAGAAAAGTCGTCGGTCGAGGCTTGCCGGATACGACGAGATTTACCGTCCATGTGTGCGCCCCGGCGAGACGAATCCGATGGTGCTCCCGAATTTAAGTGAATCGCCAGAAAATTGGAGGAGATAATCGGATTTTGACAAAATTTTCTTAGATCCAAAAACTTTGACCGATAAATCGACGGTTTTCCCGGTGGAATTTTCGCTTGAAAAATTAAGAGTAGAACGAGCACGAGAAGAGCTTCGCGATGATGTAAAGATTTTTACGATCGCAGAATTTTCTCCGGCGACCGACGAAGGTCGGGCTCTGTAGACTCGTCTCGACAAGAGGATTCCAATGGTGCTCCCGGTTTTCTCATAGCCTTCATGGATCGCCGGAAAAATGCATTTGAAGGTCGGATGTTGACCAAAATTTCTAGATCCGGAAAGTTTGACTGGCCAAATCGAAGGGCTTCCCAGATGAATTTTAGCATGAGATTTTAAGGGGAGATTCACCTCGAGGAGGTCTACCTATTGACGTAAACCATTCTCCGATCGGAGCACTTCGGTTGACGGAGTCGAAAGAGGATTTTCGTAATTTTTTTATCGGAATTCCATTTGGTTCTTCGAACGAGTCCTACAGACGGCGCCAATGTTCGTGAAATAGACTTCACTCAACTCATTCAATTCGGACGACCTTCGTACCAGCAAGAACCAAACACCAGAAGGGGTCCCGGCGTCGGGCCTCCGATACTCAAGTCAATATCACTCCAAAACTCTAAATCCCAAGATTATAGAGAGAATGAGATACCTTAGTCCCATTTTATAGGGGGAGTGTACCTTAGGGCCCAAGTTGAGCTTAGCCAACATCATCACGCCACGTGTCCTAGCGCATTTGTAGGCTTATTATCCACTGTATCCCTTCTTATCCCTTAAAATCGGTCTAGTATAATATCCTATATCAGATATTGTTACAGATATCTTATGGGATGACGTAAATTGAGATTTTCTACCCAATTTCAAATGTTATGTTGTCTAATTCGTTACTATAATCATATTGTATTTTATTTTATAATAGTGTTTAATTATTACTTTAGTTAGAATGAATTTGATTTTATAATAATTAAATATATTATGAGAATAGGATTTTCTATTAATTGTTTGATAAAAAAAAATAGAGAGAGAGAGAGAAAAAAAAAGATGATATAGAATAATATTTGGATTTCTCTTCTAATTTGATCAACAAATTGACTAATGGGTGACCATTGAATAAATTGGTATGAAGTACACATTAAAAGTGGGATATCAAAGTGCTAAAAAAATTTGGATGATTTTAATTTGTACAAGTATAAAAACATATTTTACTGTAAAGTTTGGATTCTTTCTATTATTTTTTTGTATATTAACAATCACAAATTGGATAAGTGATTTAAAAAAAATCAAAACTGCAAGGTTTAATAATATTTCATTAATAAAAAAATATTGTGTAAAGAGAATTGTTTAATAGTATATATTTTTAATTATTTTTATTTATTTTATTTCAATAATGAGATGAGATAGTGAAAAATAAATAATTATATTTAAAATAAAGTCTAAAAAAAAGTTTAAAATATGAGCTCATTTGTGCATCGCACAAGATATGCACTAGCTAAATAATAATATACTATCTTTTATTTATTGATCACTCACTTGTAAAAAAGTGAGTCATGTATATATATGTGGTAAAGAGAAGAGAGAGAGGATCCTATTCATTTTTTTCTCTTCCTCCCAACACCAAAGAGAGAGAAGAGAACATTTTTCCATGAAGAAATAAAAGAAAAAGGGCATTAACATTTTATCATTTTCGATCCTTCATTTTCATACAAAAATTCGGATAATACTCTTGTGTTGATACAATTTTTGATATCAACAATATATACATTGCATTAAAAATCGGTATGTTAGTATTAGCTTTTTTAGTTAAAAATTAATTACTTTCTACCATTAAATTTTATAAATTTTGAAATACTTAATATTTTATTATTTGTTACCCTTTTTATATTTAATATATTATATCATTCATTTCCAATGATGTTGGATTTGACCAATGTATTGTAAATAAGATAAAATAATATATTTATTTATTTTACCAATGTATTGTAAATAAAATAAAAATAATATAATTATTTCTCTCAATATAAAATAAAAACATCTACCAATATAAATTTGAAGTAATAAATGGACTTAAAAGTATCTTATAAAATAAATTATAAATTCATGCTAAATTAATTATATAAAGTATAAAATACCATAACATAAACTTGTTGATATTTTTCAATTTGAAATATTCATACTAAGAAAAATATACAGAATGGATGTTAACGTACAACTATTATCAATGTTAACTATGTGAATTAAATGGAGAAATAATGAGTTGTATGCTAAGCTATTATTCAATTACTACTTGAAAAGGAACAACATAATGATTGTAACATATATTTTCAATAAATATAAAAATGAGATAGTAACTTAACATTTTATCTTATATTGGAAAAAGAAAATCATAATCTTTTTAATCTTATAAACAGTATAAAAGTATATTTTTATCAAATATATTATTATTATAAATGATTAAGTAACATTAGTATTTTATCTTATGTGATTATGTTAGTTGTAGCCTAATAAATAAGATATTTTGAAACTTCATTATAAAAGGCGTATAAAAAAATGAAGCAATACATATAAATATGTTTTAATTATTTCAACAAATAAAATATTATTTGTGAATAGAATAAGAAATAATTAAAAAAATGGAAATTAAATAGGAAAAAGAAAAAGTCTAAATTTTCTTAGAGAAATATGAATATCCAATATCTAGAAGCAACTCTTGCAGGTAGTGTAGATTGTCAGAGGACTAAGGATTCAGCTTGTCTGCCTTATCCTCGTATGTCTTTAGATTGTTTAGACCACCTCATGGTGTGTTCTCCCATTTTTATTTCCATTGAGTCTATGGGACTTCTCATCTATGTATTCGAACTTTGTTCGCGGTTTTCTCGTTAATGTTATAATATCCCTATCGTTTCGGAAAAAAAAAAAAGCAAGTCTTAATTACTATTTTTTTGTTACTAGCATTTAAATATATGGAATCTGCAAAAAATTGATTTTCATAAATAATTATCCTTAATTATCGATTTCAAATTATAAATAATTAAAAACTATAAACTTTGTAATAAATAACTAGTATGAATCCCGTGCGATGCACGGGTAAGCGTTATTAATTAATAATTATAAATAAAAAATTATATTAAATAATATTTATAAATTTATATGGCATTTATTGAAAATGTCATATAAAATTTAAATTGTGCAAAATTATATAAAACTGTTTATGTAAAATTAGTACACATCCCGTGTGTTGTACATAACTGATAATAAATTGCATTATATTCATTTCAAAATATGTGTCATTTCAAAATTTCATTCAGAAATTCGATTTGACTATAACGTGATTCCAAAGCCACTTCCTTTCTTTTTGTCCAAGTCACTCCTAGTGACAAACTCCTATGTTCCTTTTATCACTATATCTATGGCAAAGAGCATGGTAAACCCGTATTTTGCAGATGAAGAGTATTTTTGAGAGGATGATTTTGGTTTTGACAGAATTTGAAATCATTGAGTTCAGACATTAGCCAGGATCTTTCAGAAAATGGATTCCTATTCGAAGAGTGTGACAAAAGTATTTGGTTATTAGGCAAAAATCAATAAATAATTATTTTGACAAAATTTTATCATATATTTAAAACCCGATGTGAATAATAAGTATAAATAATGAGATGGAATTTTGAATTCGACAAAATTATAAATTATAAATATATATTTAATTTTTTATTTATATAAAAAGATGTTATTGTATTTTGCCTAATTCCAAATTTTTGTTCAACCCGATTTTAAGGCAACTAAATAATGAATAAAAAATTTTAAATTTTAAATTTGAAATGAGAATACATTTTCTATGCAATAAGATTTTTTCAAAATAAAGTGATAAGGAACTATGCATTTATGGTGACCAATTTTCTAGCAATTAGTTAAAAAGAAAATTAATAAATGGATGAATGTAGGATTACATTATTTATGCAGTCCAAATTTTTGGCAAGGAATTAAAAAAAAATGAAAAATTGCTGAAAATAGAAAGTAATAAATATTGTTTGACTTTTCTTCTTACTAAATTGGGTATACTAAATCTTTTTATATAGATATAGATATAGATGTAGATTTTAATAATCACTTCATAATAATAAAGTTCACAAATTGCTAAGAGTATCATAATATAGTATAATTTTAATTCTTATCATCTCAAATATTTGAACAAATGATATGGTTCTCAATAACTCTTACTGTGGAAGAATCAAGAAATGATCAGTATCTTGAATTTTCAAAACATTATGTAGGATGCTAGAAGTTGGGCAATAAAAGCGTTAAAAGAATTATTAGTCACATAAATATTGCAAATCCAAACAAATGTGAAAAACTTTATGGCAAACTCTAAAATCATTGCAACAACCAAGATGATCAATGATTTGTAAACAATAGATAAGTCAATTACTCACTAAAAATTAATCAATTTATTTCACTAAACATAATCAACCGTAAACATTCACCTCCAGATACATCGCATTTGTATTTTACTAGTGTACATAAAATAGTAAGTCATTTCCTCACTATATTAATTGGTTTGGGGAATTACAACTTCACGTTGCTACTCCAGACCCCAAAGCTAGGATGGGTATGAAAAATTTTAATTTGAAACAAAAAACTAACTTTGATTTATATCAATATCTGTTTTACATTATGTTTTGTTGCAGCAATTTTGATCCTTTCCACAGCTTCCACATTGTACAGTACACCTGTTGTGGGACAATACAAACAACATGAAAACATAAATCTCACACTCTTTTTCCTCACAATTTCAGGTGTGAGCTCCAACTTTCTTCGTCATGCTGCAGGAGTTGCAGGATACTGAGTTAGATTGAGGCGAAGAATGTAAGGAGAGACTAAAGAACCACAGTACAAAAACTCCCCAATTTTAACACCGGTTGTTGTGAGAAAGAGTTCCCGATCACAATAGTGTGCGGTTGGTGTTCCATCCAAATCAACAGCAATAACCCCTCCATCTTTCTCAGTTCTAGGCCGTCCTATGTATCTTTCCATAATAGCAATCACCTTCCGAATGAAGGGATGTCTTTGTAATAACACCCAAGAATATGCTTCCTGCATAAAAGTAACACAAACATAGCATCATAGTGTAAATATTTTACACAACAAACAATCTCAAGTACATGTGTCAGTATAGCATTTGCCAAATCACAGATTCTACAACCTGCAAGAACACACCTGTGCGAGTCTCATATTTGTGCTACATACAAGTATATTTTCACAATTTAGAGGTGCAAAATAATACTTTTAAAAAAATATGCAAAAAATATAACAGTTGTTCGAAAAATTTGGTCACTTTTGACTTCTGATTATAAAAATATGAATATCTGTTTTAAGATTATGACAATAAATTCACATGAGACCACCAAATAATACACACTAAATTCGTTGAGCCATTGTACCATTTTCAAAAATCAGAATTCAGTTTGACACTAAATGATAACGTGTGTTTTTTACCGTGGTCAACGCAATCCAATACTGGCCTTCACCATCATATTTTATGTTGTCAGGTAATCCAGGTAAGTTCTCAATAAATACATCTACAGATCCTCTTCTTGGACCTTGTATGTAGTATCTTTTGCACCTCCTCCTACAAATTGATCAGCAAAACAAAATCAAGTATTAATGCATCAAAAGAACAAAGAATATCCATTCATCAAACTGGTTTGAGGGGGCAAAAAACACAAAAACAACAGAAAAAAAGAAAGAAAAAAAGGCTCACATGGAGGTTTCACAGAAAATAACAAAACTCTGATCTGCAGAGACGGCAACACCATTTGCAAAGTATAAATCTTTTACAAGGACTTGTGTTTGTTTTGTTGATGGATCATAGCTCAAAAGTCTACCGTTGGGTCTGCCTTCTAAAAAATCGAGAATATACTCCTTAACACCGTATCTGAATGAAGCATCAGTGAAATAGATAATGCCGTGAGGACCAATATCAGCAGCATCAGTTAGCTTAAAACTAAGACCCTCAGCCTCATCTGTCAGCAATTCAACAACCCCATCTCTGCTTATGTTTAGTAGCCCCTGCCACCTCAGCAAATGAAATTTGTTTTGAGTGATTTTCACACACTTTCAACATTACAAGTCTTTTTGGTGAAGATTGTAGGATTACCATTCTGGGATAGAGTTAAGTCAATATTAGGACCACAAACAAAAAATAAAAATTAAACTTGTTTGCAGTATGAGTTGTCACCATTAAAGGTAGGCACCTGGTGTAGGGATATATATATATATATATATATATATAATCAGATATGAAAGTCAACATAAAGATAATCCAATCCCAAGGATGTAATTACAACAAATCTCTCATTTTTAAGAAATTATCCAAGCAACTTCTCCGAATTGATAATCAAATCAAAAAACGAATGCTAATCCCAAAAAGAGTGAAAAACTTTGATGAAGTCGAGAAATTCGTGGTGATCCAGATCTAAAGCGGCAATTTCGATATAATACCAAAGACACGTTAAACAAAGAAAAATCACCCAATTCACCACATACTTATAACCTAATAAATACGGGTAAATGCATGTTTAATCAAAAATCATCGAAAAGTAAGAATTCACCTTATCAGCGTCAGCAACGATGACTTCACCGTGAAGGCCGTGAACGATTCCGAGCGGGCGTCCGCCAGTGTTGACCCACTTGTCGACGGCTGAACCGTCGAGACTAACTCGGCTGAGCCACCCATCTTGGCAGCCGGTGTATATAAGGCCAGTCTTGGGATCGAAAGCGATGTCCTCCGGCGCCGTCAATTGACCGTACCCAATCTTTTCGGATCCCCGTAGCATGTGTGTGTTTCGTTTGGGCACGAACAAAGGCGGTCCATTGCCCAGATCCGGATACGGAGCCGGGTCGAATCGATCCAGCTGGTAGACAAGCATCGCGGCTGCAACTACTGCTATTGAGATCACCCCTCCCGCTATCCACGCCATGGCTGCAACCTAAAAGTTTTGGCAGTCGACTGGTTTACACTTCTTCTCGACTCCGTTTAGTCACACGTCATCATGATTTGACCCTTCTACACTTGACTTGTTCCTTCTGTGTTCACAATTTTTTNAATGTAAAAAAAAAATATTGAACGCATAATTTGCGTTCCGACGCAAATATGCGTCGATCTGAGGAGAGAGAAGGTGAAGATCGCAATTTGCGATCGGTTTTTGGCACCGATTGGAGCTCTCCGTACTGCAAATTTTGCGTTTTGCAGTACGGTTGGAGAAGGTCTAAGCCCCACTAGTTTTTCCACTTACTTTTTCCATAAATTCATATAGTTTTAAATTTAAATCATGGTAATCGACCAGGTCAGGTTCTCGGGTCACTGAGTCACCATTTCAACTGTCGGGTCACCGGATCAATTGCTGAACCGGATAATTAATTTTAAAATTCTTTAAATTATTTATAGAGTATTTTTGTCATATAAATATTCATAAAAGTAACAAAATTAAATATTTTGTGTATAAAATTTGTACATTAAAGTGTTAATAATATGTATCTCGTGATAAATATTTACCATATAAACAGGGTGCATTATTTATTTAAAAAAAAAAAACAAAAATATGTGGAAAAAAATAAAAAAAATAAAAAAAGTTGTGGAAATGTATAAAACAGCCGGATTTTCAGAATCCGTTTTTCTAATTAAATTTTTAATTGAAAAACGGATTCTCACAATCCGTTTTTACTTTTGATTTTTTTTAATAAGATAACGGTCGAATTTAATAATAATAATACATCCACTGTCTAAAACGGATTTTCAAAATCCGTTTTTCATTTAAAAACGAGTAAAACGGATTTTGAAAATCCGTTTTTCTGTTGATAAATATCATTCGAACCCAATTTCCTCTCCCATTTCTCCTCTCCCATTTCATTTTCTCCTCTCGTTTTTTGCTCGATTTTATTGCGAATTGAAGCTGCAATTAAAAAAAAAACAAATTTTCCCATTTCATTTCTCCTCTCGTTTTTTGCTCGATTTTTTGGCGAATTGAAGCTGTTCCCGGGAAAAAAAACAAATTTTCAACCAATCGTCGAAGAAGAGGTTAGTTGTTATTTTAATATAATGTAATATTAATTTTTGGTTGTTTATGAATGTTTAAGAGATATATTTGGTTAATTGAGTATTGTTTAGAAAATCTTGAATGTTGTTTAATATATGTTTATGAATTTGGTTAATTGAATATTTATCCAAATTGTTTATGAATTTGATGTTATTGTTGGATTATGGTGATTAGGGTTTTTGTTGTGGTAATGTACTAAATTAATTGACAATTTTTATTTTTTTTTTGTTGGAGTAAAAATATGATTAATTATATGTTGTTGTTGGATATGTGTTTTAAATGTAGATTGGTAAAATAAGAATTAAAATTTTTCTCGGGTGTTTGATTAGCCATTTTAAATGTAGATTGGTGATTAGGGTTTTTGTGGTTTTTTTTATAAATTAATTGACAATTTTTTTTTGTTGGAGTAAAAATATAATTAATTATATGTTGTTGTTGGAAATGAGTTTTAAATGTAGATTGGTAAGATAATAATTGAAATATTCTCGGGTGTTTAATTAGCTATTTTAAATGTAGATTGGTGATTAGGGTTTTTGTGGTGCTTTTTATAAACTAATTGACAATTTTTTTTTTGTTCGAGTAAAAATATAATTAATTATATGTTGTTGTTGGAAATGAGTTTTAAATGTAGATTGGTAAAATAATAATTGAAATTTTCTCGGGTGTTTGATTAGCCATTTTAAATGTAGATTGGTAAAATAATTGAATTTTTAAATGTAGATTGGTAAAATAATTGAATTTTTAAATGTAGATTGGTAAAATAATAATTGAAATTTTCTCGTGGTGTTTGAATTTTTTTTATGTTGTTGTAATTTGTAAAATATAATTTTTTTTTTTGTGCAACAGGTTATAAATGTCGTCTAACGGTCCATACTTTGTTAATGTGTACTGGAAAAATTCCCCAGAGTGAGTTATGGAATTTTTCAAATTATATGTCTCGTCCGGATTGTTCATTTGTTATTAATGGAATAATATCATATCAACAATTGGTAGATATGATTTACGAAAATGGTTGGTTTCGTGATAGTTGGACAATTTCGGATATTACTTTGATGGCGAGACAACAGGATGGTTCATTTATTACCGGAAGACTGCATAATGATAATTCTTTCGTGGATTTACTACTCTGCTCCTATGTCCTATGTGTTTTTGCATATAGTTTTGGAAGCAAACACACAAGTTGAGGATCCTACGCCATCATATGGTTACGATGGAATGTTTGGTGGTGAGGATACGTGGACTACGCATGCCGGTAATTTTGGTGAAGGGACGAGTAATTTCGGCGAAGGAACGAGCTTTACCATGAGAGGACCGGACATTGAGGAAGAAATGTTGGAGATGAAGATTTCAATCCCGGTGAAGACGATTTCACGGATGAGACCTCGGAAACCGAATCGGACAGATCAATTAATGAGGAGAGCGAACAAGAATTCATTGAAGAACACCCCTTTCCAAATGAAGGCCTCTACGATTATCGCGAGATGGGTGAGTGGGACTCGTCGTGTGTAGACAGGGACGAGTATGCCTTGCCAACGTGGAATGGGCATGTCGAGACTATCCGTTTGGGTACAGTTTTTCGTACCAAGGAAGAAGCTCGGATTGGTATTAATGCCTGGAATGTTGAGAAGCTTAGGGCGGTCCGGACAAAAGATTCCAACAAGAAGTCGTTCAAAGTTGTGTGCAGATCAGATGAAGTTGTACCATGTATATGGAAGGCCCGGGTGAGTCTTAACAAACGGGATCACAACATGTGGGAGGTAACCGAATGGACCGATAGCCACACTTGCATGCAGGTGTTCGAGAGAAATGACCACAAGAATGTGACCGCCGCCATGATCTCAAATCTTCTGTTGGCTAAGATTCAGAAGCAGGCGACCTACAGTGTGGAAATGGTCCAGGCCGACGTAAAAAGTGCCTGGGGAGTCGATGTCAGTTACAAGAAGGCGTGGCACGGGGTCCAGGACTACGACCCCAAGACTTGGGCCATAAATGGCCAGTACCTGTATTTCAGTAGTCTGGAAGAGGAGTGCAAACACCCTCTGGAGGATGGACTCCCTACATCAGAGTACGAGAAGAGGGCGAGAGCCCTGATACTCTGGTGTATTGGGTCCTTCTTCTTCCCCGACCATCGGGCAACGGAGTCAACCTCTACTGGTTGTCCCTGTTGAATGACATCGATGCCATTCCGGGGTACAGCTGGGGTGGTGCGCTTCTGGCCGGGGTATATAGAGCGCTCTGCGACGCCTACGAGACGCGGGAAAAATATATCAAGAGCTGCGTGCAGTTGATTCAGGTAAATTTATTTACTTGTTAATTGAAAATTAATTTTATTTATTGTAAATTACAATAATATGTGCTAAAAAATGTATATGTCCATATGTGCAGGTTTGGGCATGGGAACGCATCCCTCGTGTTCGCCCATTAATGACAAGAACACATTTCGGCTCTCAGGCTGGTTGTCCCTTGGGTGCAAGGGTAATAATAACATTTATTTATATTCAACACTTAAGTTCTTTCAATTATCAAAATTTGGAATTACAGATAATTTTTTTCTGTGATTTTTAAGGTGGGTGGGATCGAGGGACATGAGACACCTGGTGACGGGCACGGCTGCCATCCGAGATCAGCTGAGTGGCCTGAGAGAGACTGATGTAAGTTTTTTAGGTCATAATTATAAATAATTATTATTTTTTTAATTCTATTTTTTATTAAATTTATTAATAATTCTATAAATAATTTTTTTTCACAGTTCGATTGGGTACCCTATCAGACGTACATAGACGAGGGTCGACTCCCGGAAGTGTGCACACGAGACCGACATCTCTGGATGTACAAGGGGTGGATCTTCTGCTGGAACATCGCAGAACCCCATGAGCCTGATAGGGTGCTCCGCCAGTTTCGGTGCCACCAGCCCATCCCCCAACCGCCGCTCATTACTAGTCTGGCCGACTGGGACACCCGCCACAAAGGCCAGGGCATGACTGGGAGGGCATACACCGATTGGCAGGCCTTCCATGCTGATCTTGGGAGGATCTGGACCGAAGAGAGAGATCAGAACGTCCTCCCAGATGTCCCGGTGGATCCCTTCCTGCAGCCGGCAGATGGGTACATTGATTGGTTTCACAGTAGGACTGTGAGACTATTCAATGACCCCAATAACTACGCGGCGATCTCACAGGACGGCGGGTTTCAGCCATATGCCGACCGAGAGAAGTGTCAGGTAACTGTCTGCTATTTTGTGATTTTTTTTATTATTATTATTAATATTATTGAAGTAATTATTATTATTATCATTATTTTTAATATTTGATAGTTATTTGAATTTTATTTTGCAGTTTTCGGGTACGGAGGTGGCGTATAACATGCTAACGAACATTGAAGACATTGATACGCTACCTCCCAGAGCGCAGTCACAGTTCCAGCAAGCCCAGGAACTTCTGTACGCTTCTCTGACTGCTGGGGGTCAGTCGGTCACACAAGGGGCGTCGTCGGAGCAAATTCTATCTCAAGATGAGTACGCCCCGCCCCAGCATACACAGTCTCAGCGGGCGAGGCATAGACCGACGCCCCACATTAGTGGAGGGAGAAGACGCCGTGACCGCGAACCCGCCAGCAATGAAGAAGACGAATAAGGTGAGATTTTTTTATTTAACTACAAATATATATATATTTTTTTTGTTTCTTTTTATTTATTTGTCCGGTCGAATTATTGATTTTTTACAAAAATTTATTAATTAGGTGGACAAGAAGAAGAAGAAGAACCAACCACGCCTGCACCGACCGCAGGATCGTCTTCTTTGCAATCGGGGCCTCGGAGAGGGTCCCGAAGACGCGTGTCTAGGAAACCATTTACTCCTAGTTAGTTTGTTTTTGTATTCTGTGATTTTGTGGACATTTTTTTTTTTTTTTTTTTTTTTTTTNTTTTTTTTTTGTCGGTACTTATGGTTGTCTTTTTCTATATAGTGTTTCATATATGTATGCATGTTAGATTTTATCATTTGACGAATG